AACACCATACCCTGAGCTGAGGGGCAGCAAAAATGAGCCTTGAAACCTATGCTAACAAAGGTTAGACTTTGGAAAGCCACAGGTGATGACCCCAAGCCCTGCTGAAGGCAGGTGGGGCAGGGCATGATGCCACTCCTGAGGGTCAGCACTGCTAACTCCAGCAAAAGCCACAAATCAAGGCTCCCAAAGCCTTGAATCACAGAATGTAAGACATTCTATTTACCTTGTGACTTTTAAAGTGCCTTCACCACGTTGAGACCTTTTTTCTTCAATCCCAAACCAGACTGAGGCAGAGTCTGAGAGATGAAGCAGTTCAAGGTATCTCTGGATTCACATTGTATAACTCTGAGAACCAACCAAGACACAAACCCTGAACCTTTTCCTATCTTCTGCTCCTCCAGAAATGGAAATCTTTCAGACATTACACAACTCCTCTCCCCCTCCCTCAGCCTCTACACAGATCCTCCACACCTTCACACGGCTGATCTTTTCAGCTCAACTCTCAAATGTCAACATCCATTTACCTTATAATTAACATCATTACGAGCACTGACATTTTTCTCATCTTCATGCTTTTTTTTTTCCTCAGCTGTCTTGATCCTTTCTGTCAAGGGACTGTTGCCACTTGCAGTTTTAGAAAGACACAGCAAAAACCTGTTGTTTCAAAGGAGCAGCTGATGTGTTCTGCAGAGATCTCTGCACCAGTGTTACCTGTGCCTTCACTGCAGTTCATGAAGAGGTTTCTACTTCTGCTCATTTCCCTCTGTTGCCTTTGACATTATTCCTTCTGGCACGATCTTTTCCCCCACCATGGCAAATTGGAGCTAATTTCAGACCTTAATCAACACTCATTGCCTAATGGGCAGAGAGGTAAGGTCTTAGAGGAGTGAGATACTGCAGTGGCCAAGGGCTATGAGGCTTTTGGGGGGTTTTCTATGGTTTTGGGTCTTAAGGAAAAGACAAATACTAAATGAACAACATGATGTGTTATACACAAGCTCTAGAGATTCTATTTGTCATTGGAAATCCAAACAGGTCCACAACAAAGATCTTGTTCTGCCAGGACTGATGGTAAAATCCTTCCCTGATCATCAGGACTCTGCAGTCTCAGGACACATTTGTGCCTTAGGTATCTCTGAACAGCTGAAGGGCTTGGTCAGGTTCAGGGAGAAAAATAGACAAAAATCCACTGTAATCAACAATTTCAGGATGTCTTTATGTCTATTCATTTGCTAAAACAAACACCCAGAGAGAGGATCAGCAGCCATGGGAAAAGCTTTGGCTACAACTGTGTCCCAACTCAGGGTTTCCTCATCTTTTCTGCCTACCAATGATCTGTCCTTAACAATTACTGATCCACTTGAAAATCCAAGATACTTTATCCCAGTGTATCTGCCCAGAGAGGCCCCATGGAAGTGGCAGAGAGCTAAACCCTCCCACACTGCTCTGTGGAGGAGCTGAGCAGGCCAAGATCGATGGTTGTGCCCACACCTAACACTGCTGTGTTTATTCCAGCACTTCTATCCCAGATTTACCCCAACTGAGTTGACCTATTTTGATGTAATACATAGGTAATTCAGGGACAGGAGCATACATTCTGCTGAGTCCAGACAAACGGCCTCAATTCACAGGGAACTGTACAAATGACCCAACCCAAGTGGGACCTGCAGCTCCTTCATGTGCATTTTAACACAGTGCACTCCCTCCAGGCAACTGAACAGCATCAATTCCACACTGAAATATAATTCCTGGGGAAGATCTGAAAAGAACATAGGGAAAAGAAAAAAAAAAGAGGCTAAATAAACCAAATCAGGGGAAAGAGCAAGAGAGTTTTATTTGTAGCTCCTGAACTCAGGGAATTGAGGAGACTGAAAAAGTCTCTTAGGCTGAATTATTGAGATAATAAAGCACCTGCTGAAGAGACCTCTGACTGCTCTAATGAAATTATTCCATTGCCCCAGAATAATCACCAGTGCAGGTTCTCTTTGGAGAGCAAAAGAAACAAGGGAAGGCAAAGTGGGAGATAAATGGAATGCAAATGGCTCTCTCTGCTCGGGGAAGCCAAAGGAGCTGTGACATGACAGGAGTGAGGCTGACACTACTGCAAACACACTGAGCTTCTTCCACCTCCATTTACTACCTCCAGGTCACTGGGAAACAGCTCAGAGCAAACACAGGGCGAAGAGGGAGGCAGGGAAGCACCAGCACAGGGAGGATTTCACCCAGGCTTGATTTGCCATGAGCTTTCACACAGCCTGAAGAATCATTTTCCCCTTTCTGTTATAGAATCACAGAATCAACCAGGTTGGAAGAGACCTCCAAGATCATCCAGTCCTACCCTCCCATGGTCACTAGACCATGGCACTAAGTGCCACATCCAGTCTCAGCCTGAAAACCTCCAGGGATGGTGAATCCACCACCTCCCTGGGCAGCACATTCCAATGCCTGAGCACTCTCTCTGGAAAAAATCTCTTCCTAATATCCAACCTAACCCTCCCCTGGCAGAGCTTGAGTCTGTGCCCTCTTGTCCTGGGAGAAGAGACCAACCCCCACCCGACTCCAACCTCCTGGCAGGGAGTTGCAGAGGGTGCTAAGGTCTCCCCTGAGCCTCCTCTTCTCCAGGCTGAACACCCCCAGCTCCCTCAGCCTTTCCTCATGGCACTTGTGCTCAGTCCCTTCCCCAGCCTCGTTGCTCTTCTCTGGACCTGCTCCAGCCCCTCAATGTCCCTCCTGATTGTCCCAACCAACCAGCCCAGCAATGAGAAGAGTCCTCACTGCAGCAGAATTATGCAATGAAAAAGTTATCCATGTGCAATCCAGGGATGAGTCCCTACTTCCAAGGCTCCTGTTCCCCCTCTTTACCTTTCAGGAAGACAAGTTCCACAGAGGTAGAGGCTGTTCCATAATTCAGCACTTACGCAATCCGTCACGCATGAATATTTAACACGACTGGGAACTTCAATAAATCACCTTGTACTGCGAATGAGTGGTCAAATTCCAATTTGTTTTATTCATAGTCCTGTTCTCAGGCACAAGAATTCCGACAGGGACAGCCAAGTTTGCCTTTTCCCTGGGAACAACTGATCTCCCCTTTGAAAAACAAGCCAACAAAACCCAGGGAATTTCTTTCGTTCCCACACAAACCTGCAGAACCTTATTGCATTTTCATCTACTAAAATGTAATTAATGAAGGCTTTTAAACCCTCAGAACCTTTCAAATTAATGAAAAGTCCACCCAAATAAATTAGCCATGTAGTCCTTAGGCTGCAGATTTAAATAACAGTAGTTATCCTGACAGGAACCAAGAACCAACTGTCACATACAATTATTTTTAGGGCTGCTACTAAACCATTTGCACATTATGAGCTGCCACCTCTCAGCAGAGAGCAGCAGCTCCACATTTCATCATGGCAAAAAATTACAGGCATCCAGTTACTTCCTTGGGTATTCCACACGTTGGTAATTTGCTGGGTGATAAATGGAGCTGAAACTCAGTGCTGGAGAAGGAACAAGGGCCTAGGGCAGCAACAGGCTGTGACATCACCACAGCTGTGACATAATGACAACCCCTCAGCCTGTAGAGTTGTAGGGAGGAGATTTGGCACATACTGATTGGGAATTGTGTGTCATAATGGGACAGTGACATCATCACCACCACTGCACATCTCAGTGTTCTGCTCAGTAAAAATGGTCTTAAGTCAAGAAATTGCTGCTCCATCACCACGACTATGACACCTTCCCAACCCTTCAGCCAACACCACTGCACATCTCAGTGTTCTGTCCAGCAGAAATGCTCCTAAGTCAACCAATTACTTCTCCATCACCATGGCTATAACACCTTCCCAACCCCTCAGCCAGCTGAGGTGCAGGAAGCAGATTTGGCTCATCCCAATTAACTCCGGGACCGTATGTCAGAATGGCCCAGTGACAACATCAGCAGTACATATCTCAGTGTTCCATCCAGCAGCTCCTAGATCAACAAAATCACTTCTCCAACACTATGGCTATGACATCTTCCCAACCCTTCAGCCAACAGAGTTGCAGGAAGGAGATTTGGCACATACTGATTAGCTCTGGGACTATGTGTCATCATGGCCCGGTGACAACATCACCACTACATATCTCAGTGTTCCATCCAGCACCTCCTAAGTCAACAAATTGCTTCTCAGGCACTATGGCTATGACACCTTCCCAGCCCTTCAGCCAACTGAGGTGCAGGAAACAGATTTGGCTCATCCCAATCGACTCTGGGACTGTGTGTCATAATGGCCCAGTGACATCATCACTGCACATCTGGGTGTGCTCCAGCAGCCAGTGCAGCCAGTCAGCAGAGCCCCACCAAACCAGAAGTGGAGCTCCCTCCTTTCCAAGGAGGAGCCAGCTCAACCAGCAGCTCCACAGGACATGGCACGGCCGGTGCACAGGCACCGCAGGAAGGTTCCCAGTGCTCCTCTGCGCTTCCGGATCCTGGTCAAGCTGGGCAACGTCAAGCAACTAGAATCTAGAAAAATGAGCCCAAGGAAATGCTTAGGAAAAGGAAAATCTGTGAATTCTGCCCAGAGGGTGACGAGAAGGCAGCAAAAGCAGCAAAAGCAGCAAAGGCAGCAAAGGCAGCAAAAGCAGCAGAGGCAGCAGAGGAAGAGTGTTCGTCTCAAAGCAGCGACACAGCCACTTCCTCCCTTCTTCCTCTTCTTCACCCAGCACCGCAAGGAGCTCCAAGATGCCAACCCACACTGGACAGTGGCCCAAACTGCCAAGCAGATGGGCAGAATGTGGCGAAATCTGCCAGAAGAAGACAAGGAGAAGTACAGGGAGCAGGCTGCTCAGCTCAGGGAGAAACAGTCAGCAGGGGAAAGCAGAGTTCAGGGCAGACAACAGAAGCAGCCCGAGATGGAGTTCATGGTGGAGAAACAGCAAAGCAAAAAGAACTCAAAGACTACGACTGTGATGGTCAACTTTGCTACTAAGGCTGGGAGCCTCTGTGAATACCTCAGGTCATTCCTTCAGTGATGTTGACAATTAAAATATCTGCAAGCACCTGGTAACTGTGACCCTTGGGGCAGGGGGTGGAATGACTCAGATGGAATCTAGTTGGCTCCACACTGGTGGCAATGGGAAGGTTTGTGCAGCCTAGAGATGGATGTTTCCTGTTCATCCATAAAGGAAACAGCAATGAGTCTTCTCTGCCTCTTCTCCAAACCATGAGTTAAAATATGCTCCTTCTGCAGAGGAGGAGCTCTGGTCCTGGAGCTAGAGAGGTGGCAGGTAATGCAGACATGCCTGAGGGGAAACAGAAGGCTCCTCACCTCTGCCAGGGCTCTTTAGCTGGTGACCTGCTTGGCCTGACGTGGCTTGGAGGAGCCAGGAAGGTAGGACAGAGAGTGCTGCTGACCTACATTCTGCTGCTACCCCACGGCAGTGAGCAGCTCGAGCTCTGAACCCTCTCATCTGCTGCAGGCAGGAAACACAGCATCCTGCTCCCCTGGAAAAACTCACCCCCCAAACCAGCACAGGTATCTGAACCTGCTGAAGGACCCAGATGTCACCAGAGAGGTTCCTCCTCATGACCACAGCCTTTCCACAGGTCCCTTTAGGAAGAGTCACAGCCCATTCCCACACCAGTCACACCTCAGGTGCCCCAGTTCAGTGCCACCCTCTCCCCATGCACCAAGGCAAACACTGCAGTTCACAAAGTTAGCAGCAAACTGAACCCCAAAGCTCTGCTTGTCCCTAATTCCACACAAAGGGTTTTGTCAAGGGTCTTAGCACCACCAACTGCAGCACCTGGAGCTCAAACCAGTGGTCAGCAGCTCTCACTGGGAAACCTAAACCCCTGGGATATGGCCCTAGGAAGCTGCTGCTCCAAATGCTGGGGGTTTGAAGGTAAAAATCCAAGTGCTCTGACTTGGCAGAGGAATGTTTAAGTGAGCAGGGACACGAAATCTGCCGTTAATGGCTCTGCTGCCTGCACGGCCACTAACAGCCTGACAGGCTCCATCAATTAAAATCTATTCCCAGCTGCACTGCTGATGGCCACAGCAGACTGCACGGCTATTTTTGGCACATTACAAATATGAAGTGGTTAAAGAGGCATCAAAAAGAGGCCCAAGATATTACCCATCCAATTATACCTCCAACGGAATCTTTGTGTCTTCCATTCCTCAACGTGCAAACCTCACAAACAACAGGCACTCAGGCAAAAACCAACCACTCTGGGAAGTTGGAACACAGGTTTCCACTCAATTTAACACATCACCCAGTCTGCTGGTGAGGAATGTCTTCAGGTTCCTGCAGCACTGCCTCCAAACATCCACTGTTTGCAAACACCCCCCAGTAAACTCCCAGTATGACCATTTCCATCAGCCTCTCCAGCTGAACCAGCCTGAGAGGCTGAAGGCCAACTCAGCCAGCTCAGAACAATAAAACTCCAGTTATCTTGCAGTGGGAAATCTTTTAGTGAGAGCAAAACAGGAGGGGCTGGAAAACAGAGCAGTTGGAACTGGTAGTTATCCACCTGTAGCTGTTTTCACACTAATGGTGTAGAGAGATGGAAATAACTGTTTGAGCTAAGCATTACCAATGACAAATAGCAGATTGGGAGAAGCCTTCCAGCAGCACTGAGGAAACAATGAGCTCTGAAGAGCTGCAGGCAACTGCTGGAGAAGGGGGGGAAATGATAAATATGGATATTATGGGGGGAACATGTCTGGGGGGCCTGAGGTTGGTTCCTTCAGCTGCTTTCCACTCTGTACTTACAGTGTGCAATAAACTCGAGCTGCAGAGAATGAGTTCTTGCAGTATTGGAACAATTTGGGCTCCCTGAGAGCCCCTGCACCTTCTCCACGTGCTCCAAACTGATATTAAAGATGTTGTTCCATGCCTAGTAATAGCAATTTTCTTATGGTGCTGCCTGTGTTGTCAGAGCTAAGGGCCAGAGGAGTGAAGAACACCTTGTGGATTAGCAGGACAAGCTTCCCTACAAATCAAGTCAGCTGAAGGATGGACCAGGAGAGCTGTCAGGGATGGGCTTCGCTGTCCCTGCCCTCTCCACGTGGAGGTTTCAAAGGGGCTGAGATTCAGAGTGGAAGAGAACAGCCAGGAGTGTCAGATCTCTAGCCAAAGCCTCCAGAAATGCACTTCAGTGTGCTCTGACCAGAGGCACAACCACACTCCTGTCACCAGAGCTGCTGGATCAGAGCTCCATCACACACTCTGGGTCAGACTTCAAAGTCTGGAGAAACAAACCAAGCCCAAAGCCAAAACTTCCTTGTACTGCCCCAGATCCTAAATAAAAGATGCAATCTGAGCACAAAAAGCAGAAAAGCTGAGCGAGGAGCTGTGGCTGCTGCACTCACACTCCTGTTGCTCTGCAGATATCTCCTCTCTTTCCATGAATGATGGCACTTCATCCCACCTCCCTCCCTGAGCTCCACTCTCCTCAGCCCAGCAATTTGCATCTGTGTGTGCACAAGATGCTCTCACATTACAGCAGTCCTAGAGGAAGCTCTGGAGTGCCCCTGAATAACAGGTTTGTTTAATAGATTTTCTCTGCAGTGATGTTTCTCCACGTGGCTTCAACAGCTGAGTGAAGTCATGGGCACAGGTCACATACACTGTGTGGCTCACCTCCAGGAGGCCTAAAACCAACCCAACCAACCCAACAAAACAACCACTACTAATTTTTCTACGTGTTGCAGTGAGGAATTGACCCTTTGAAGGTGCTGGTTTGGGGGTTGAGGCTGCATCAGAGGGTGATAAGAGTCACCCAGGGACATCCCCACAGCCAACAGTGCTCAGTGCAGGGAGAACCTCTTCTCCCTTCTCACTCCCAGTACCTCATAGCCACTGACAAAGGTGTTTGGGAACAATCCAGGGCAGGCTGAGCCTGGCAGAGACCTCCCCAAACCCTCCTTAAGCCAGGAACAGGTTAATTCTCGATGCCTTGGAGGCTCTGCAGGCTCCTGTCATGTGCTAACTGAGATGTCACAGCTTCAACACCCTTGGAAAAAATCAGAAACTGGAAATGTTCTTTCCTCATTAACTGGCTGGCAAAGACTCCTCTGCTTTCAAGAATCAATAACCTGCTTTTGTTCTCAGCTTGATTTTAATGTGACCAAAGAGACAACCAAGCTCTGAACGCTACCAACACCCAGGACTGTGCTGAGGAGAGCAACAGCTTGTTTGCTTGAAGTCCACCTTGCAGGAACACACAGAATGAGCATCACAGAGCACATCCCCATCTGCACAGCTTGGGGAAAGGCAGCACATCCTGCCACCCTTGTTAACTTTGATTTAGATCACAAATCACTGCGGTAACAACCTCATTCTCTGCACGCTGGCACAGCCAAGCTCTGGCTTGGGGAGGCTCTAGCAGAGTTCTCACATCCCTTCTGCCCAGGAGCAGCACATTTCACACCACTGATGCCTGTTGACCTTGCAGTTCTTGGTGAGAGCAGCTCCATGCCACGTTTGAGGGAAGAGAACAAAACGGGTCTCCCAAAATGTGC